AAACTACAAATTAAAAAGACAGAATGACCAATGTTAAATACCAGAGTTATCCAAAAACATAATATATTTATTAACTAATTTGATTTAGTACTTAGGCCAGTTATATGCGTATTTAATAAATTAAATATATTATAATGTTATTCTCAGGGTAAACATAATAAATTTGATCAATTTTGTAAGCTTAAAAAGTAAATTAAAGAGTTAATCCTACTAATAAACCGCTTCCTTCTTCTGGTTCACCATTTGGAGGTTCTGGCTTCGGTTCTGGTTTTGGTTCTGGTTTTGGTTCTGGTTTTGGTTCTTCTTTTGGGTAACCCGGCTTCAATGGTACTTGTTTGTCTGAATCACACTGGTACATCGGATTACCATTACTATCTTTAGGTCCATCTGTTAGTACAGCACAACATAAACGCATTTGATTCAAGTAAGAAATACAAAACTGTGCTGCATTTATTCAACCGGATGTTTATCAAAATAGAATGTAAGGATTTAGCCTCGTACCATTAAGTAGAAAATAACGAAATTTCACTTACTGTATTTAAGATCAGTATCCTCAAAGGAAGCTGCAAATCCTTGAAAAGCACTGCCGTAGACATCTGTGTCAAATACCATCCAGACGGCTCCTGAATCGGAAAGGAATGAATCCGGAGAAGGCAAACTGAAGCCGAAGTGGCCGTTAATGTAAAGCGTTCCATTTTGGTTTTTATCACAGCCATCACCAATTGTCAAGGTATCTCTCGAACCCTCGGTCTGAAATGTTTGCAGGGTCACACGCATACGCTTGCCTGGTGGCGCGTTTATTACATAACTGCACTTGGTACTACGAGGGTAACCTGTTGGGTATCCAGGTGCTGCAATTGCAGTGCGTCCTCCTTCAGGCACATAAAAGCTTCCTCCACACCCTAAATAAAATTAAAAGGATAAAACTCATGGAAATATTGCTTCACCAAATAGCCAATATGCGTGAGTTCGTTAATGCTGAAAACACATTTGTTACATTCATTTTAATTTGCGCCACTGACAAACTATTACGTCGCCAATTAATAAATATATCCCCATCATA